AAAATGAACTAAGAACCATCTTCATGGGAGACCTCACCATCATAAAATACTTCACCAAAGTTAAAACAGGGTGAAGCTTCTCTGAAACATCAAGTCTCCGGTTCGCAACGATAAAGTCTTGTGATATACTTAATAAGCAGGCTATTCTTAAAGTACGACTATGTGGAAATTATCATTCATCACAAATCGCCTCTTCCCACTTTTCTTGAAAGGTATTGCATGTTAATCCTTGAAGAAACAGGAATGTCTCAAACCAGGTTACACTCTTCTTCTTCTCACAGTGACCACGTTTAATCCTTAATCATTCTTCATGTCGGGAACAACCAAAATAGCAGGGGAAATAATCGTGGGAGCGGAAAAAAAATGGTTATCATTAATCGCTTAATCTATGTCGACAACATGAAAATACCAACCCCTAATATGGGTGGGTGTTTATTCCACCACCATCAAAAAATCGGCAGCCTACTGCCTCATCTTCTTGGTTTCAGCAACACCCAACAAATAGGATGCAATAATACACAACCTAATCGTGCAATCGGCCTACTATTGCACTTTTTAATCAGTGTCTAATGGCATTTTTTCGATCCGATATGAAATATTTCATGATGAACTAAATATCAACACCAATACATGCCCACATGCCCACATGCATGGTTTTTATTTTGGACCTCAAACACACATTAACTCTAGGCTAGAATTTTCTGGATAGGCTCAACTGCCCCCAAGGTTTTGAACAGTGGTTATCACAACTTCACATAAATTAGCCACTTCCTTACCTTTCATGTTTAACAGGGTGTTTTTACCGACCGCAAAAATAGAGAATCAATAACGGATACCGGGGCTATTAACCACATCCTTGAAAATACATGTATAATCAAAACAACAACAAACAATTTCCATATTAAATATATTTATGTTGGTAAGGGTTATAAAATGTTTGTAATTAAGATTGGATACACTGATTTTCCTATCTAAAGTCTATATCGTGCCCTTCATTGAAACAATATAATCATATCACCTCACATAATAATAAATCTTATTTATGTTCATCAATTGATTTGACGAGTTTGATTTTACTATTAAGGATTATCAGAGCCAACAACCACTAATTTGATACGATAGCTCTGAACTGCTTTATAATGTCGTTACATTACCTTCAAAGTGTTTGTTTTGTCAAGTAAAAATCTATGGCATCAACATCTCAATTATCTGTAGGATTAAGTGCTAAAGTCTTTTTTTTATAGTCATTTGCTTCCATGTGATAAAGAACAATACAATCTAATGTGTCAAGATTATCAACTAGGAAAACATTTTCCTCTTCCATTTAGTCTTTATGATTCCAATGTTTTAATGCTTTTGACATAATACATTATGATATTTAGTAACTTCTAACTTCTAGAAGTGGTCTAAGTTACTGTTATATTTCTTGATCACCAGACACACTACATTTGGATATACCATCTAAAATTCAAATCTAGTGTATTTCAAAAATTCCTTCACTTCTATAGTATTGTAAAAAATTAATTTGGATGTTCCATCAAAAGTTTTCCAATGTGATAACGGGTTGAGTATAACAACAAATCATTCCATGACGTCTTTAACTCAAATGTTAATCATCTTTTCTTCCTCACACTTCCCAACAAAATAGGAAATCCTAACGTATATTACAAACCATTAACAACGTTGTTTGTAAAATCTTGTTTCACTCCTACCTCCTACCAACTTTTCGGGTTGAAGCTCTCAATATTGCAACCCACATCTTCCACATCTTTCCTTCCTCCACCATAAAAATGATATCACATGCTTTGGTTTATTTCACAAACATCCGACATACACTCATCTCCATGTTTTTGACTACCTTTGCTAATTCCATCTTTAGACCTATCATACTCATAAACTACAACCCTTGAACAACACCATGCAATTTCCTCGGATATCCACCCATACATTGTGGGTACTGATGCCTCAGTCTTTCCTCTCGAAAACATTCATTTCTAGACATGTTGTTTTAAGAAAATTTATTTCAATATGGATCCGTAACACATAATGAGTCACCATCAGTGATTTTATCAATGACACTATTGACCCATCACTAATCATTCAACAATACTCCCACTCCCCTCTTACTCCATGCATCACTCCTAGGTTACTACTGAAATCGAGACCAACCCCTCCTCAATATATAGCCACTCTACACTTTTCTAGAACTCAACCGTAACCAAATCTTGGGCATGACTACCAGGGGTATAAATGAGAAGAACCGAGAACGAACATACCCAAGATCGACTCAAGCTCATTTATATTCATCTGGGCTTGTGCTCGAGCTCGACTTGTTTTGAGCCTAGTTTCAAAGCTCATGTTCAACTCGTGGGAAAAATAACATAGTCGAGCTCGGCTCAACACGAGCTCGTTTTGTTTGTTTTGCGAGCCTAAATGAGGCTAGGCTGGACTCGAGTTCGTTTATGGTTTTTGAGCTCGTTTGATTGTTTATCATACATTCAAGTTAATAATCCAACATCAGAACATACATTCATACATTCCAGATATCCATTGGTTTAATCTCTATAATATAACTAAACATAAGAACATAAAAAGTAAAAGCTCAAATTACAAAAAATAGTAGTTAAACTCCCAAATTAAAAAATGACCAGAAATAAACAAATCTTCCTTTATGCAACTTCACTACTCGATACAAAAACCTAGATGGCTAGATGTTGTGTGTGTGAAGATATGTTCTGAAAATTAAATTGGAAAAAAGTGAATGGGGTGATTAAAAGATATTAAAAAAAGCTTAAATTTATTAGTAAAATGTAACATATAAAGTAAAAAATAAGTTTATATTATAATATATATAGGTTTAATTAGGATCGTGAGCCTAATCGAACTCGGTAACCGAAGCTCAGGATCGAGCTTGTTTAATAAATGAGCCTTATGTTGAGCTCGAGCTCGGCTCGGGATTGTTTAACTCAAGCTCGAGTCGAGTTTTTAACGAGTCGATCTTGAGTAGCTCACGAGTAGCTCGACTTACTTACACCACCCCTAAGGATTACCACCAACCACTTCCAAATCTTTCTACATCAATCAAACCCATCTCTAATATCAACCATATACCTACTTCTATCACATAAACAACCTCCTATATGTAAACTTCTCACCCTTTGACTACTCAAAGTAAATGTGGTATATCAAAACACACACAGAGACTTAATCCATACGTATCTTCCATCTCTCATGTCCCTCAATCTTATTTGTAGGAGTTATAGGACATACAGTGGCATAAAGCCATTCTTGAGGAGTACAATGCTCTTCAGTCCAACGACACATTGATTCTTATGCTAAAACATATAGGGTGAATGTTGTGCAGTCTATTTGGCTATTTTTAAACTAGACTTCGCGGGGCATACATGTCTCCGACCCTTCTACACTACAGTCTGGATGGGGCACGACAATATCTCACTTTCATAAACCTAACTTATCATTTGCTATTCAAGTAATATGTATGTACATGTATGACCCTCGGGAGTTATACAACCAGGATCTCAAACGCATTCTTCAGCACCTTTATGGCGCCCATTGATCATCATCTAAAAATCTATGCCTTTCCTTTATCTAATCTTGTCGCGTACTTTAAGACTAACTGGGTGGATGTCCTTCCACTCATCGCTTCGCTTCAGGCTATTGTATATTCTTAGGAGGCAACTTATTCTCTTGGTCATCAAAATGACAATGGGTCATTTATAGACCCGTAATTTGCTGCAAGAACTTCGGTGTCCACCTAACAAGGCGACCATTGTCTACTGATGTCAATGCAATTTACATGTCATCGAATCTACTGCAACATCAAAAAGTAAACCGAAAGAGACCGACATCAATTTTATTTGCGACCAGGTTGCTTCCGCTCTTGTTAGAGTTTCTCAAATTCCCTCAATATTGTTGTATGCAATCATCTTCGCAAAGGGACTTCCTTCCACGACTTTAGAGCAAGGTTGAACGTGAGACACTCTCCTTCCAATTAAATTACAGGGGATGTTGCCCCTCCTTCCTTGAGATCGATGGTTCAAGTCCCGTCGTAGACATATGTGGATTTAAAGAGTAGTTTAGAAATATGTTAGATTTCCCGTTCCAAAAAAAAAAAAACAAAAAATTATTATGCATGTTGTATGTTAACCCAATTACGATATAAAATGCATATATAGTCTCGCCCTTGTATCTCATAGATATATACATATACGCCTTCTTGACTAATTAATGAGAATAAATTATTCGATATTTATAATATTAACCTTACTAGTTATGAGACCCGTATGTTATACGGGTTTGGTAAAACAAAAAATTAACTATGTAAGTTTAAACAAAATTTTATTTAAATTGAAATTTTAGATTTGAAATTTGAATTTAAAAGGAAACATATTAAATACTATATTAATACTAATACTGTAATTTATTGGTTATTTTCAATTAAGACAATTATTAATTGAGATGTAAATATGATATGTTAATTAAGAAAATAGAATAAAATAAGAAAATGACAAATGAAAAAAACATTTATTCAAAAATACCAAAAAATAACATGTGTCAAAGTTAATGAGAGAATGACATGTGACAAAATTATTTTCATTTATTAGGGAGGATTATTATATATGTTTCCAAAAATATTTTATTAAAATATTAGATTGTTTTTTTAAATATTAAATTAATCAGAATAAATCTATGTCAATTATAAAAGATATTTTTCATATAGAAAATGGCAAATGTCCCATGCAACGTGTCAAGACTCAAGAAGAGCCGAAAACCAACGGCATTCATTTTTGGTGCGGTCACCCGTTATCATTTTTCTATCTTCCATATGTCATTTACCCGTTCAACAATTCAACCACCGACACGTACCTCCATTTCTCACGCTATATATACACATATATCATTGTTCCTTGCAGATCATCGTCTTCATCTTACCTTCAGCTTCGTTACGTGCTCATTCAGTGACACTTTTCCATATCGCCATGACTACCATGAAGCAATCAGTTACAGAAGATCTCCGAAAAGATAATGGTCAGAAAACGCCGACGATGTTGAAGGTGTTTGAAGAGTTTGAAACCGATGGGCAGAGTTACGAATCATCTTCAGAGGATATGGAAACCTACTCTCCGAAATCGGTGGTCACAAAGCTCAGGAAGTGGCCGGCAACGGTGAAGGACGTCAACATCGATGCTTTCAGCCGTCGTGTTCGTAACCAGATTGAGAGGATTCGAGCGGAAGATTCACATCTAGGAGAAGATATCGGTGAATGTTTGATCGCTAAGGTTTCTGTTTCTGTTCATGATCTGGTGGATGTTGTGATTTTCTCCCGCCCTGCTTCGCCTCTAAGCGGGAAGATTCCGGCGAGGGTCAATATGGTTCAGTGAACACACTGTCTTCACCAAGTTGTGGGTGCTTTTTCATCCCAAAAGTTTGAACACTTTGGAGGGCTCCAAGTGAACTCAACACGAAGACTTGGTACCAGACTACTAAGAAACTATGCTCAGCGAAAAAGATAGCTTTTAAATTGAAAATCCGACTTTTGTCTAATAAGCTAAATAAGCAATAGCTGAAGCTGATAAGTTGTCGGAAATAGTAATAAAATTTAGTTAAAACCAGTTGATAAACTACACAAAATGTAAAATAAAATAAAATAATATTTAGATATATAATAAAAACGGGAAATGATATAATGGTATACAGTATTTCATAATTTTATGGAAAAAGCTTATTAATTTATCAAAATAAGCTATCTTAAATTATTTTTTCTAGTAAACAGTTTCTCCATTTGGTTTGTGCGTGTCTTGCTCCTATGTAGTCTAGGGTTGCTGGTTGGTGGGACGTGTCTACGCCCCAGTCTCACTCGGTGTTAGCTTTTTCTATTTGGGCCGATTATGAAGTTATGGTCGTTGCTTCTAGAAAGGTGTTTGATGCGTGGTGTGTGCTATATTATGGATATAATCTGGAAGTATCGTAAGAAGTTGATTTTTTGAATGGTAAAACCCAAACGGGATGTCATTATCGATGATATTGCGGCGTATTCTTATTATTGGATTAAACATAAAACTACTAGTTTGGGATCGTTTTATTTTCAATTACCATGTAGCATTTTTGTAATTTTTCTCTCGTTCAACGGCTTTTAAAAAAAAAGACTTATAACTACAAGAAAGGGGAGCATTAGCGGCGACAACCACTATTAGCGGCGACATGCGACATGTAATATACGCCTTACATGTCGCCTCTTATAGTGGTTGTCGCCGCTAAAGACGTCGCCACTAATGCTGCTACAGTGTTGATTCGCGTCAAATGAACCCCGTCCGTTCGATCTGCTTTTTATCCAACAGTGGGAAATGAGAAAAAAGGGTGCTGTCTTTTCCCTCCAGGGTTGTCGCCGCTAAAACCCTAGCGTCGCCGCTAAAGGCTGTCGCAGATAAGCCCCCCACTGCGTCTCTTTCCTGTTCGTTCTGCCTCCTTTCATTCTTCCAACGATTACCGGCGACTGCACCATTCAGTCGTCCGACGACCTTCGTTTGTGCCACAGGACTCGTCTCCGGCAACCATTACCGCCGACCACCAGTGGAGCTCCATTATTACCGGCGACAAAAGGATCGATTTAAAGTCCGATTTCTCCCCTATTTTCTATTCAACTTTTGTTTTGGTGTTTTCCTTACTGGTTTTAAGTAGGGGTGACAATTTATGACACGACACGACAAAAATACACGAAACGAAACGAAATTAGGACGAAACTGAAATTTGAATTCGTGTTCGTGTTAACAGTAAAAAATACGATGTCGTGTCGTGTCGTGTCGTGTTCGTGTTCAAAATTCGACACGAAATTGACACGATTTAGTAGTTTTTTATCGTGTTTTTCATGTTTGTCGTATTTTTCGTGTTATATTTGATAAAGTATTCATTAATAAACTAGTTTTTAGTAAATGTTATATTTTTCGTGTCGTGTCGTGTTTGTCGTTTTGTAATTCGTTCGTTTTCGTGTTAGTTAGAAAAAACACGACATCATGTCGTGTCGTGTTCGTGTTACATAAAATATTGTCGTGTCGTGTCGTGTCAGACAGAAACACGAAACGATAGCACGATTTGCCACCCCTAGTTTTAAGTGTTTAATTTAAGGTTTTTGGAACCCTTGCCGGAAAATCTAGTTTTGTCGGATCTGTTGCCGGAATTGTTGCCGGAAATTTGGAATTCTTACCGGAAAATCTCGAAATTACACTAGCACAGGTTCCTTTTCATGACTTTTGAAATTATATATGTGATTTGCATGTTTTTGTGTGTTATTTGTATGGTTATTATTTGGAATTTTGGAATTCTTACCGGAATTGTTGCCGGAATTGTTTTTGTGTGTTATTTGTATGTGTATTATTTGTGTATGTGTATGTGTATGAGTTTTGAAATTATATATGTGATTTGTATGTTTGGAAAAAATGAAAAAAATTAGGTTGCTATAATAGAAAAATAAGTATGATGCTATAATGAATATGTGTATGAAAATGTTTATGTGTATTTATATCTATAATGTGTGTATTTATGTATGTAATGTGTGGAAAACAAAGTGTGTATATTACAAAAAGTAATATCACCAAAAGAATAATGGAATACCATGCTACCATATTAAATACGACGCATTACAAAGAGTAAGATCAATAAAAGAATAATGGAGTAATATTAGCATTATCAATACCAAGACCAATAAACCACGTTATAATAAAAAAAAAGTTTAGCATGCTATCATGCTAATATGAAGTAAGAAATAAGTTGGTTGCAAAAAAAAAAAAAAAAAAAATTCTACATCCAAAAAACAGGAAATCGAATATTATTTTATACCAAAATTAATACGCACATGCAAATCATAACAAAAATGTTGTGTACATGAAAAAGGAAAAATTTTAAGAATTGTGTGCTTTTGATAAAAACTATCTCTTAGTTCCTTCTTTTGTATTGAAAGCATAAACTACATAATTATAAAATCAAGTTAATATTAATTATAAAATAAAGTTATTATTAATATTAAAATAAAATAAAATTAACTATAAAATGAAATTAAATTAATTTAAAAAATTAAACTAATAACAAAAAAGAAAATATTAAATTAATTAGATAATCAAATTAACTTAATTTTCAAATCAAATTAATACTAATTATAAAATCAAATTAAATTAATTTTAAAAAATTAAACTAATAACAAAAAGAAAAATATTAAATTGATTAGAAAGACAAATTAAGTTAATTTTCAAATCAAACTAAATTAATTATTAAATCAAATTAAATTAATTATAAAATCAAATTAATTTTAATATTAAAATAAAATTAAATTAATTTTAAAATCAAATTAAATTAATTTAAAAAATTAAACCCAAATGTTGTGATGCTTCATTACACTAAACCGATTCTTTATAACTATACATATATTGTATTTTATAATTGTTAGGATATTATGGAAATAAAAAGAATCGAAGATAATAAAAACTTGTGTTGTAATAAACTTAAACATATATGCAGTAACGTGGTATTAAATATAGTTATAAGAAATAATATAATGATAATGTTATTATAATATTAAAATATATTTTTGGTGTAAGGTTTTAGTGTGTGGTTGGAATTGAAAAATGTTTTGGTGTAAAATTTACACAAAATTATTGTTGAATATAGTGTTAAGGTTGGAGTTGCTTTTATAAAATCAAATTAAATTAAATATAAAATCAAATTAAACAGTATATTTTTTAAACCATAATATTATGTAATATAATATTAAAAGTACGATGTTATAATAGAAAATAAACAAAAGTATGATGTTATAATTAACAAAATTATTGTACTTTTGTTTATTTTCTATCATAACATCGTATTTTTAAAATTATGGTTTAAATAATGTACCTTATAATATGATTTTCTTATTAAAACACGGTTAGTCATTGATTTTTAGTTTAAGTTTCTTCTTCATAATCATCAAGAGCCTAGAAATACCCGTTTGAAATTGATTTAGAAATTAATTTCGGGTTGTCCCCGTTTTGGGATTGCTTTTTGAATACTTTATCTCATTTAGGATGTGAACATGTATTACATGATTGTTTGTTTAAGAAAACTTCGGTTGTCATTTTCTCTTT